TGATATACTTCTGCTTGGGATATTATTTTGGTTCGGTTTGTCGGTCTAGAATTAAAAGCTTCGCTGCTACAAATGGTGGTGAGCCACACAATCAGCGAGTCGACGCAGTCAAATCTGGAGGCTGCGGCTCCAGTCAGTCGCGCCGACGAAGTTCAACAGGTAAGTCTAGGCAGGCATTGAGATAAATCTGCGTATGGCATTTGGGAATTCTTTGGGCTGTTGACCTGAGGCTAATTGCGCTTCTATAGCTTCTAAGAGCAGTTGAAGATCTCATCATCCCTTTCATTCGTACCGCCGACGAAAATCCATTCGGTGAGACACAGCAGAATGGTGATTTGAAATGCCAGGATTCAAGGCCTGGAGCATCCTTGGTGGAATACAGCCGACCAGAAGAGTTACAGGACATTCTGCAGCTTGAGTTACCAGAGAAGGGCACTCGACAAGATGGTCTCATCGAAGCTCTTCAGAAGATTCTGCGGCACTCGGTCAACACCTGGCACCAGGGTTTCTTGGACAAACTTTACGCCTCTACAAATGCACCGGGACTGGCCGCGGAGCTGATCCTGGCGACGCTGAATACCAACGTCCATGTATACCAGGTGTCTCCAGTGTTGACGATCATCGAGAAGTACACCGTCAAACGGCTGGCGGCTTTATTCGGGCTTGATGGACCGTATGCCGGTGGAGCCTCGATGCAAGGTGGCTCGGCTTCCAACACGACATCCATTGTCATTGCGCGTAATACCCTTTACCCGAGTACGAAACAGGACGGGAATGGTGATCGCCGCTTTGTGTTGTTTACAAGCGCTCACGGCCACTACAGCATTGAAAAGGCAGCGCAGATGCTTGGATTCGGTTCCGGTGCCGTGTGGAGCGTCCCTGTTGACAGGCGAGGACGTTTGATCCCCACCGAGTTGGAGAAGCTTGTCCAGAAAGCGCAGAGCGAGGGCCGAACGCCATTCTACGTCAATGCGACGGCGGGGACGACCGTCATGGGCTCCTTCGACCCCTTCCACGAGATCTCTGCCATTTGCAAAAGGCACAAGCTCTGGCTCCACGTCGACGGGTCTTGGGGTGGTTCCTTTGCTTTCTCCCAGCGCCAGCGAGGAAAGCTCTCTGGGGCGGAAAAGGCAAACAGCATCGCCATCAATCCTCATAAGATGCTTGGTGCTCCCATCACCTGTTCCTTCCTCCTGGCCTCTGACATCCGCCAATTCCACCGCGCCAACACTCTGCCGGCAGGTTATCTTTTCCACAGTGACGAAGACGGTTCTGTTTCGGACGCAGCCACCGAGATAACAGCCGACTCACCACCGGAGGTGTGGGATCTGGCGGACCTGACTCTGCAGTGCGGCCGGCGCGCGGACTCGCTAAAGCTCTTTCTTGGCTGGACCTACTACGGCACCCAAGGATATGAGCAACAGATAGACTCGGCCTGCGAGGTGGCCGCCCACCTGGCGACGATCGTCGACCAGAACCCCAATTTTATTCTCATCAGCGAGAACCCGCCCCCTTGTCTCCAGGTATGCTTCTACTACACCCCCGGCCAGCAATTCGTGTACCCGCGCAGCGGGGTCGTTTCCAACGAACCCGAACGCGGCAGGCAGAACAGCAGAGTCGTCGAGCAGGTAACGCGTGCCATCGTGTCTCGTGGGTTTATGGTCGACTTTGCTCCCCCCAGCGGTGGTGACGCGGAGGCCGTCGGTAACGGCAAGTTCTTCCGCTGCGTGGTCAACATCCTTACCTCCAAGCAGACGGTGGAGAGCCTCATTCGTGCTATTGAGGAGACCGGGCCCGAGGTTGTGGAGAAGTTGAAGAAAGCAGAAAGCCATAAGCCTCGCATCGGACGGGGATGGAATAGACCTGGGGAACGAGGATATGGACCTGTCGTACATCAATGCGACGCGTAGATTTACGGATTGCTCCATCCCCACTGCTGGTCATATGAAGTGATTTGATTTACAAAAGTGCATTTATACATAGAATCATAGAGTGGGGTACATGGAAAAACTAGAACTCGGCTGTATAAGTATGCCCTTGAATTAACTTTTCCTAGTTGATAGTTAAGGTACAGGCCGTAAAGCCTCGCCCGAGTATATAGACCAGCATAATCATTGACTTCCAATTTCCACTCTTCTTTCCACCACCGTCCGGGACTCTGCTTCCGTGAGAATCTCGATTTTGAGTTCCGCGAGCACGGCTCTAGCGCTCTCGTTGTCTTTGAAAAGCCTCTTCTCCACCTCCCACAGCGACAGTTGAGCCTCTTCGCCAGTCTCTAGAGGCTGTTGTTGACCCTCGCCTGTTTCACCGGGGAGCTTGCTGTCAGTCGTGTGGGCGCTGAGAGACAGCAGCACGAGGCCCTCATAGAGCTTCTTCATTCCTCGTTCCGAGTCGCCGCGGCGGCCGGCGTGCCCAACAGCCATATCGATAACGTCGCAGAGATGATTGATGTCACTGGTCATTTGGGAAGCGCCCGCATCAGAGAAAGAGTGTCGCGAGAGAACGTTGTCCCAGATAAAGCTCTGAATAGAGAGGAGGAGCTGGCGGACGATGCGTCGTAAGGGGGCGATACCTAAGGCGCGGGAGAGGAAGGCGATGTTCGTGGACAAAGTCCGTGTTGCTGCCGCGAGATCTGCAGAAGGCGGGATAAGAGTTTCTGGCGAGGAGGAACTCGCCGATAAAGTCGCCCATGTGGCCGTCCGAGAGTATGGCTTGAGCGCAGAGATCGTGTTGGATATTAGCGTGGATGTGATAATGGCTTCTGACCGGAGCCGCAGTCGACTGTATGCAGATGCTGTCTCGTCGAAAAGAGCACCCTCGGACTTTGAGTCCTTCCCATGAGCATGGTTTTCTGCTACAGCTTGGGAAGTGCGTGACGCTACATCCGCGACTGACATGGTACCCGCGACGTTCTGGCCGTTGTCTTTATTTTGTCGAACCCGTTCCTGAAGTTCCGACCAGAGCTCCACGAAAAACACATCGTTGCTCCAGTCTTGCATTTTCTTCTCAAGGTATTCTGCGCTGCCAAAGACCCGACACAGGCGCTCTAGGCCGGCAACGCCTTCCACGCTGGCTTGGCCGTCAGCACCCTGCACAGTGCGGCCAAGGGCCGAGGTCATCGCGAGGTACGCTTCCAAAGCGGAGTGCAAGCGTTCATGGAACTGATCGAAAATGGTGATTTGAATGTCAATGAGGAATCGTAACTTTTGGCCAAAAGACGTCAGTGGTTGGTAACGCTCTGTGATCGTTTCAAGGAGGTCGTTGACACGAATCGCGGCTTTTGTGGGCTTAGAAGCCACATGCTCAACACCGTCATAATCGATATGGCCACTGTCTGCGGCGTCGATAATTTCCTTGTACCTAGCCAAGGCGAAATCCTTCTCGACCTGGAGCCAACGATCAAACCAGCCCTGGTTGGTCAAGACCTCCCAGGCCATTCCCTCCCATCTATCGTTACTGTATGGGTCTGGCAAATAATTCCATGTCTCACAGATCTCGTTGTCGAACTTCATCACCTCGTGAACAAAGTGACTGAGAAGTTGAGGATAATTTGAAATCTGAGGAAGAAATGTGCTTATTTTGCTCCTGATAATTGGCAACAGCGCCGTAATAAATGCATGAGAAGCATCAAAAAAGTTCCATGCCAGTTCAGGTTTCACGGCTTGAGACTTTTTATCTAAAATAGGCTGAAGGTATTGCGCAAAGAAACCACTCTCATTGTTAACCAGGTCCAGGATATGTGATAAGAAATATTCAGGCTATTCGATCGTCAGAGCGAAAAAATGTCTTCTTTTTGATATCAAGGAGAAACGGTACCTTGTCAAGTTTGTTCGTTGGTTTGTCACCGCTGAAATGGTACTTGAACCGAAGCTCAAGTGGATGGACCATCACCTCGAGGGGGAAGAGAATAGGAGGAGATACAGCCGGGGATTCAGGACCAGAACCCCGTTGCTCAAGCTCGCTAGAACCCAAACAGTCAGTGGAGTTTGTCTAAAAGAAGAGAAGGAACATTCGCACGGTATCTGCAATTCCAGAAGTAACTCAACATGGTTCGTCCACTCCGCGATCAAGTCATCTGTAAGAACAAGACTCTTTGATGGCCACTTCATTTTCTCAAGCGTACTTTGGAGACGTCCGTTGAAATTGTCTTTTATTTGCTTCTTCAATGCCAATGCCAACTGTTCGGCATGGTCGATCAGGTGAGGAGCCGCGCCCTCGGCAGCAGGCTGAGCATTTCGCAAGGCGAGGACAATATCCCTCAGTCGGGCATATGGCTTTAGAGCCAGAAGTGGGGTAGATTCGATAATCTGCAATGATTCCTTGCTATATGCCCCTTTAGTAAACATTTCATTGATAAGATGCATCGGTCTCCGAGCATACCTCAACTCTTCCACCTCTTGGAGAAGCTCGACATAACCTGTCGAAATTTCCAGCTTTTGCAATTTCTCCATACTTGTTTCAAACTTCTGCACTGCCTGATCACTCGTTTCGGACTGGGTAATTTCCTTCAACCGTTGGTCGATGTCCGCTTGTTGCTCGTTGAACGTTTCGGCTCGCTGCCGCAAGGCCTCGACATGGTCATCGCGCGCTTTTGTGGCATCGGAAAGCACTTTCTGGGCTTCTGATAACTAAAATAAATTAAAAGTTCATCCTGGAGTAGTTCAAATTCACTAGCCCCTGGTGGAAGCCCTGGTGGAAGCCCTGGTGTCTTACCTGCTTCTGTTGAAGCTCATGTTGAGCACGCAAGCTTGAGAGCAACGCATCCAAATTCTCCAAGTCTGCAGATACCTGGATCTTATCGTTCAAATAATCTTCTGCTCGGGCCCGTTCATCTGCAGACAGACTTGCTGCGGAGGTCGCCATGATGGTTGCCGCGGGGGAGTGAAGCGCAATGTGTTGTGATCTCCGCTTAGTGACAGTAAGAGCTTAAGCGGTGGCATGTGGAGCTCGCGTTCCAGACACTGCCAACTCCGCCTCAGCAACGTCATTGTTATCCAGCCGTACAAAATACTTGGTCTGCGAGCGAGACGAGACCAGCCAGGCTGAGGATGACTTTAATTCTGTGCGCTGGATCTACCTAGAGGGTAAGCAATGCCCAGTCCTACCAAAAAACGCAAGAGGAATGGCCCAGATCCGATCCAACAGACACGGAGCATTGCGTCGTTCTTCCAAGGCCAGGCTTCTTCAGCTGCTAAACAGAGAGAGGAAGCACCTGATTCCATCACAGAAGATCCAGAGCAGTCACTGTCGGATGAGGCTCTTGCTAGGAAGCTCCAGGCAGAGTGGAACCGTGAAGAGGCTGCAGTAGATGAACATCCGGTCTCGCAAGAGGACTCCGCGCCACCACTAGCAACCTCATCGACTTTAGAGATTACCAGATTATCAGACTTATCAACAAAAAGATTGGTTGAAGTTCCGGGAAAGAATACGCTTGCACTGCAGTCCTCCGTCGGTACGGAAGATACGATCTCTCTCGGTATTCCTTTCGATGAGAGTCCGTTGACTTTCAAGCCATCGAAATACGTGGATGCACTACAAGTGCATTGGGAAGCTCAGGGTGGTGATGCCACATATGCATTATTGACAAGGGCCTTTGTGCTTGCAAACAGCACTACGAGCCGGATCAAGATCGTCGACACGCTGGTCAACTTCCTGCGAGTTTTAATAGAAGGGAACACTGCCAGTCTTTTGCCTGCGGTATGGCTTGCTACAAATTCTATCTCCCCGCCATATATCGACCTGGAGCTGGGATTGGGAGGATCAGCAATCTCAAAGGCGTTAAAAAAGATATACGGCTTGAACAGCCAGGGGCTCAAAACTCTCTATGACAAATATGGAGATGCCGGGGACGTGGCCTTCGAAGCAAAGAAAAGGCAGAGCTTCACTTTGGTAAAACCGAAGCCTCTCACTATTCAGGGTGTGTACCAGTCATTGAAGAAGATTGCTATGACAAAGGGTGCGGGTAGTCAGGAGACGAAGCAGCGAATTGTCGAGAAACTTCTCCAAGATACGCGAGGGGCTGAAGAAAGCCGTTACATCGTCAGAACCTTGGTACAGAATTTGCGTATTGGCGCAGTGAAGACTACCATGCTCATTGCGCTTTCTCGAGCATTCACCTATTCCAAACCAGAAGGGGCAACGTTTCCTATACGTCCTCTAGATCATCTTGCACGGCTGAAGAAGGAAGAGCTGGCTGGGATCCATAACGCTGCCGAAGAGATTGTGAAAGCCTGCTATGCCAGACACCCAGACTACAATGATCTTGTCCCTTGCCTCCTTGAGGTCGGAGCCACAGACGAACTCCTTGTGCGGTGCGGCCTGGATTTGCACGTGCCTTTACGACCGATGTTGGGTAGCATCACTCGAGATCTGTCTGACATGCTCACAAAACTCCAAGGACGAGATTTCAGCTGCGAGTACAAATATGATGGGCAGCGTGCACAAATTCATTGTGACGTTAAAGGAAAGGTGTCAATCTTTTCTAGACATTTGGAACTGATGACCGAGAAGTATCCTGATCTTGTCTCTCTCGTGCCTCAACTAAGAGGAGAGGGCGTCTCGAGCTTCATTCTCGAAGGAGAAGTAGTCGCCGTTGACCAGGAGTCTGGAGAGCTTCAGCCTTTCCAGATTTTGACGAACCGCGCCAAAAAGAATGTCGATGTCGGTGCCATCAAAGTCAATGTATGTCTCTTTGCCTTCGACTTGATGTTTCTCAACGGAGAGCCATTACTGGACCGTCCATTTCGTGAGCGACGATCGCTTCTACGGAGTCTTTTTGTCGAGATCCCCAATCGATTCACGTGGGTCAAGAGTATAGATGCGACATCTGCCGATTCAGAAGCGGTTCTCGAATTTTTCAAGAGCGCAACCGATACTAAGTGCGAAGGCATCATGGTCAAAGTTCTCGATAATAACAAACCAAGCACAATCCAAAGCCATGATGCAGCCTTTGTCGACGATTCTGATGCGGCGGACCAATCTTTCCCGCCCGGAAATGATGATTCCACAAATGCAGCTCAATCGACAGAGACAAGAGAAAAAGGCAGCCGACGCAAAGCTCTGTTATCCACCTATGAACCAGACAAACGCCTCGAATCCTGGCTCAAGGTGAAGAAAGATTACAGCACATCCTCCGAGACTCTGGACCTTATACCAGTTGCAGGCTGGCACGGCCAGGGACGGAAGGCAAAGTGGTGGTCTCCGATCCTCCTCGCAGTCCGTAATCCGGAGACAGGGGCTTTTGAGGCCGTAACCAAATGTATGTCTGGATTTACGGACAAGTTCTACCAGGCCAACAAAGAAAAGTATGCTGAGGGCAGCTCCAACCTCATCTCGCGCCCAAGCTACGTCGAGTACTCTGGCGAGCCAGACGTTTGGTTTGAGCCCCAGGAAGTGTGGGAAATGGCCTTTGCGGACATCACGCTCAGTCCGACCTACACGGCTGCGATCGGTTTAGTGAGCGAGGAGCGTGGGCTAAGTCTGCGCTTCCCCCGCTTTCTCAAAGTCCGTGAGGATAAGTCCATCGATGAAGCAAGCACATCCGACTATCTTGCTCTTTTATGGCGCAACCAAAGCGACCGCTCCAAGGAACCTGCTACCGGCGAACCAGAACAGCTCGGCTGGCAAGAAGAGTAATCTTCTCCATGGAATAGTTCTCAATCTAGCCTAACTCTTGAATATCTTTTTCCGCTATCAAACAGAGGCTCCTAGCTGTCGCTGCCAGTGGAACGCGGGGTACTAGCCATTTCCGCATGGCAGAGAGACAGCAAACCTGCACGCTCAAAGGCTACGAAGTATACTGATGTGCCACCAGAAGTACAGAGTATGGAGTACTTAATTCTAGATGGCTATATAGTTATATATGTTCTATAGTAATAGTCAGGATTCCTTTTATAGATAACACTGGCAGTCAATCAATTAAACAAAATCTCACTGTCATAAATCTTCCCTACTACAGTTATGCCGTACGGAGTAACTAGTACTACCTACGGAGTACTCCGGAGTACATACATTTTCTAAGGTAGGTCTTTGTACCTGGAGCTACCCCGCACCACTAACCAATCAAAACCAGGTCCCAAGATAGAGCATGGAGATTGTCCTAACTGTATTTGGAATCAATAAACGCGAAATCAACGCGTCATTGACACGTGTCAAACGCGACACGACAGGGTAATCAGAAAATTACTACGGAGTACCAACGCAGAAAGAAACTGCTGGATTGCTCCATACTGTGTCAGGCTCAGCCGCAGTAAGCACCAGTGGAGACATTGCTTTTATCTGGTTAATAGTTGACTAATATTAAACAGGGCATATAGTTAAATGGAATATAGGTTAAGCATACAACAACAGGTGGTAGTTGATATATACAGAGATAGACGTAGGTCAGGTACTGGTAGACAGACCTGCAGACACGTTACATGGTTTAGGAAATAAAGAATGATAATTTGATGGCCTGGAGCCAATGGGCGGAATACTACCGAATACTCGGTAGATGAGATAACAGAACTTTAACAAAGGAGACATGACTAGTAATTGGTAAAGAAAATCAAAGGAAAGAGAATGATTGAGAAGAAAAAAAGGGAAAAGGGGAAGAGAAAAAAGAAATGCTATGGGTATGTATAAACAATGCAAGGGATGATGATGTGCACATGATATTGGATCATAAGTGGTCATAAAAGGTATATTGGACACAAGGAAAAGGAGCAAAGGGGGCATATTAAATGAAAACGTTGATCGGGAAGAAAAGGGAGATGGAGACGAAGAGGCCATGATCAGGGCCGTAATTCTTCGCCGAGCTGAAGAGCTAGGCCGGCTCCCTTCATGGGCTGTCTAGGGCTTTCCGCACTTGGAGGGACTAGATTGTCAAAATTGAGCCGTTTTCTCGTGTCCTTGATGGCAAGGGGGGTTCTCGAGGGCCCGCCGGGGGTACGACCGCCCCAAGGGGGCTGGGCAGGGCTTGGTGTCACATTGACAAAATCGGCAAAGTTGAACTGCTGATTCGGCGTGCCAAAGTTGGGGAACACTCCGCCGCCTCCCGGTGTAGGGGTGAGAGACGGCAGGACCGCATGCTGGCTTGGTGGAGTGGACGGGGGGAAGTCCCGATGGGTGGTGCCCTTGGCGATGCTGGCCGGGGTAGGCGAGTTGGCCAGGTAGAGCAGTAAATCCGCGCCATCGTCGTTCTGCATGGGTCTCTCGCTCCGCGGAAGACGAGCATGCTTGGGTGGGGGTGTCCGGGGCGGGGAAGAGTTCACCATTGAACTTATATTCTGGAAGCTGTGTATGGGGAGATCCGGGTCGTGTCCATCGTCGGAATGACCACCACGGCGGGCTGGCGAGGAGGCCTCGAAGACAGTGGCCGGCCTGGAGATATAGGGCGGGGGATACCGGTGGTGCCGGCGGGCAGAATGACGATCGAAACCTGGCGAGGACTCCGGCAGGCGGTATGAGCTCTTCCAAGAGACGCGAGACACTTTGGCCGGCCGGTCGGTGATCGAGTCGGATCGAACCCTCTTCCGCCCCGCGGACAACATCGGCTGCATCACCCTTGAGTTGAAGGTGACCGCATGCCTATTCCGTGCCGACCTGGGTAGCTCTTTCGAGTAGGTAGCTGAGGCGAGGAAGGGGGGCGAGGTCATCGGGGTTTCGTGGCGGCTGTTGGAGACATCCGACGAGGAATCCGAAGGCTTGTCGCTTCCCAGAAACGCCATCCGGCCATCCTGCTGCTGATCTAGGTTCAGGGCACGCAAACGACCGTTCTGATATTTGACTTTGGCGAGGCCGAGTCGATCCTGGAGGCTGAGGGAGACCTGGTAGTAGAATCCATGTGTTAGCCAAGATCGATTGGCCCCATCACCGAGACTCTGGCAAGTTCTGAGATAGCTGAAGCAAACGCCCTACCTGAGCAATGTCAATTTTGCGGATCGTCTGCTCCGCAGAGCCTAGCGAGTGACTGCGAGACATGGCCGTCGTAGTTGTAGGTGGACAGCCGCAATGCTTTCGAGCCGAGAGCAAGGCCCGAGACTGGCATCAACACCGGAGACGGGGGCAAAGGGTCGGAACTTGTAGTCACAGCAGCCGGCAAAGCAGCGGTAGGGCTGGGTTCAAGAGAGTGGAGGGCCCTGGGGGAGGAGCAAAGGGAACGCAGCCTGGCATACGGCCTCGGTTAGCCCGACAAAGGGACTGGGGAAAGATAGACCCTTAGGTTGGGAGCAACTCGGCCTTCCAATTAAAGAGCGAGATACACAGGGGGCAAGGGGAAGGCTGAAGCAATAATCAATAGAATCGATAACTAGCAATCCTTTATTGTGGCTGTCTGCGTTTAGAGTGGACACAGTTTAAAAAAAAAAAATTAAAAAATTAAAGAAAAAAAATCTAAAGAATTGATTGTAATGACAAACAGCCGGCGGGTTTGAACTCCAGGGCTTATTTTGGCGGGTGGATCTTTTGGTAGGCAAAGACGCGCCCAGGACGTGCCATCCGCAAACCCTCGCGCTGGAATGACACACTCACAATAACCATGACTACAGTCTTGAAAAATGAAGGAATAATTATTCCCCCATGAACCTAATAAGTCGAAGTCAAATTTGTATCCTCCTATGATTCTCAGGTAGTCGGGTTGAAGAGGTCGCTGACGATCAGGTTATGAATAGGCAGGCATTATCAAGGTAAACCAACACAAACCATTTAACTACTCGTCGTACTTTATGGTTCCCCTTCTCCAATTCCTACAAGAAAGGACTAGTTATATACTCCGTGTACTCTCTTACGATTTCGTCACTAGGGACACCCAAGTGCAAATGATGAGTGCTCGGAAACGGCCCTCCTTGTTGATCGGAGTGGATCAAAAGGAGCGCTGGAAAGAAATTTCCGATCCATTCCAGCGCCCATACCAAGAATAAACCACGGCCCTTGGCGCTTGCGCAATGAGCTCCGTTCCAGGCTTGTTGCTATGCAGGCGTGAGCCTTGGCAGTCAAGTTAGGCCTCGATGGCAGAACATGGGTACAGAGTAGCGACTGTCGAGTCGATGACATGTTGCTGTGACTGAGACATAGTTACTACGGAGTACATAATATTCAACCGCTTTCCACCGATCACTTTAGCTTGACGCTCTGGCTAATGGTGTGTCTTTGATCTGCGATCCTACTATTCTAATAATAGCCTCTGTACCGAGTTATCTACAGACCATCTGAACTCTTAGTACGGGTACGCTATGTACTACACTGGTTTATTATTATTATTTGGCCATAGACAATCTACTGCTAGACAGTCAAACGCGTTTTGTACGACAGATGAGCGAAATGTGTTCGCTGTTCATCCTAGGATATAACCTGCTTAGTTGGTTGGTAGTTTTATGTACCTACGGAAGCGTTAGCTTCATAGGCTGCTGTAACTGTCGGCTGTGGAGGCCAGAAAACAAGGAATGAGATAACAGGCGACCAAAAACAACACCCACTGTCTACCATTGGATCGTGACTCGCGTCCCAATCCTTTTCGGCAAGCTGGCGTATGTACGGTAATAGGCACTGCAGCCAGCACGAGGTATGTGAACCAAGTGGAAGTCAAATGAAAAGCAGAAGGGGGGAGGGAAAGAAAAAAAGAAAAAAAAAAAAAAAAAAAAAAAAAAAGAGGCCCCCTGAAGCTTCGGGCGTGGATCAGGAGAGGCGCAACTGAGGCGGATAAACCAAAACACGGAATGTTTATGACGACAATAGAGATAGAGAACTCAGTTGTAACTACCTGTAGTAATAACAATGATGGTAGTGGTAGGTTTAACTAATAAAAAAGCCGTGTTTTGAGCTCTCTGAATCCCACGATCTTGCTGTCTGTCTGATAGATAAGAAGCCAGTCGATCGTCTCCACTGCTGGCCACCGTGAAACGGCACTTGAGGATTTTCTTTTGTCTCACTGGCCTGGCTCGCTCTTACGCGACGCAACGATTCTTGCTGCTTGCTCCACCATCGACCAGCCAACTTGGCCAGCTTAGCTTGGGAGGGGTGGAGGCACTGCTCAACCCTGACTGACCATAAGCCTGAATCTGTGCTGTCTGGCTTGTTCTCTTGTTCTCTTGGTCTTGTTCTCCTGGTTAGACCAACCTCTTTCCCTCTATCTCTAACTAACTAGTTATATCTCGTTTCTTTTTACTCCTCTTCCTTTTTCTCTCTGTGGTCTCTGCAGAGTCTTTCGACAGTCCGAGTACTACTAGTTAGTTAGTTAGCATCTATCCTCGCTCTCCTGAATACCGCAAAGGATCGTTGCCTGGAGGTTCCTTCCTCTTTCTGACGACATCGCCCCTGCCGCTCGTTCTCGCCGACCCCCTCTTCCCCCCCCCCCCTCCTCCTCTTCTTTCTTTTTCTCTTCCTCCTTCCACCACCACAGTACGCCAATCGAGTCGAGATTCTACCATCGCTGATTACCCGCAACTGAATGAGAGGTGGCCGTGGGAAAGGTGAAGCTGAACTGTCGTCGGAGAGAAGAGACCGTTGTCCATCGTTAAGAGAATATTATGCCGTTTTTCAAAGATCTGCGACGCCGTTCGCGGGCCAGCTTCCGGACCAACAAGTCCAGCGAGACTGCCTCACACAATGGTGAGATGACCTCGGGCAAGTCGTCTTCCACCTTGGAGTCGTCCTCTCGCAGCTCCATCACCCCGCCTTCATCCATCCGCCCAAACTTGTCCTCGCCCAATCTGCCGTCTTTGAACACGTTTAATATCAACGGCGGCAGCCCCAATGGCAACGGCAGTAACGGCCCGCCCGTCCTCGTCACACCACGACCGGGCCTGTCGCCCATCTCTCCCTCCCAGCGAAGCAGTACATATGTACGTTCGCCACGTTCTGCCTTGTAATCGGAGTGCTGACCGTGTCTTTCTTACCTATTGATTATTAGGGCGGAAGCAGCAACCTGTCTGTGAACGCTACAATCCGCTCGCCCACCCCCACCTCCCCCTATGCACCGAGGATCATTTCCGTTTCGGAGAATTCATGGGTATGCTGCTTCAACAATCGTTATCTTTAATCTCTGATTACATCTCGCTAAAAGCAGGGGGATGGTTTTCTTTCCCCTCCTCCCCCCTTAACAGGTTCATCAAAAAGTTTTACTTGTTTATGGTCAAATCGGAGACCCCAGACAGCATCCGCTGGACGGAACTGTCACCGTTTTCCACCACCAAGATAATTTTCCCTCCGTCAGCTGGCCTGTCACCGCCTCGCACTTCAAGACCCTCGTGCACCTGGTTCCGGGTCCCAACCGGCTGCGATTCGACTTTTCCTCTCCCAAGCTTTCATCGGGAAGCAATCATCCCGCCATCCATTCCACCTGGATCTGCGTCAATTATCTGCCGTTGGTCAACTCGCCGCCGTTACAATTGGTCATCCTCCTCGGCCGGGACTCGGACGGCACCTTTGATGCCCCCCCGGAACGCATCCAGCGGGAAGGCAGTGGGCTGGACACCGCCATCCGCAAGTACCGTATGGCAGCATATCTGTGGCAGGCGTTCACGGGGGAGCAGATGTTCCGCAACAATCTGGGACGACGATGCTTCCGCTTCGAGGAAGAATGGCAGACGGGGACCTTGAACCGTCGCGATGCGGTCAACGGACAGATGCGCAACGAGGCCAAGATCCATATTGTTCGCAGCGACAAGACCGTCGCCGAGCTGCGGGATCTGAACATCGCTCAGCAGTACGGGCCCGCCACGGAAAAGGGCGAGCTCTTCAATATCGCCAAGGACGCTGTGCGGAAGCACTTCAATCCGCAGCCGGGCCAGAAGCAGTACGTCTCGGTGCTGTTGCTTGATGCCCACTGGGACCCGGCCGTGCAGACCATCACCGGTCACGCCGCGCTCGGTTCCGGCGGCGACGACATCAAGATGGCCATCTTTGGCTCTCACTGTCTACAGAGCTATCCGTCCAGTCTGGAAGAGGTCGTCGATGCGTTCTCCGACTGCACCCGCACCGACCCCGAGTTCCTCGCCAACGACTGCGGGGAGGCCGGCTCGAACTGGGAGTCGGCTACCCTCGGCATTGGCGCGCACCTGCACGAGGTCGGCCATCTTTTCGGGTGCCCTCACCAGGAATCCGGCGTGATGCTGCGAGACTATGTTCGACTCAACCGGACCTTCACCACGCGCGAGTCCTTTGCCACTCGCACCAAGACCCAAGGTCTCAAGATCTGCCTGCCACAAGATGAGTGTGGCTGGCACCGTCTGGATGCGTTGCGATTCCGTTTCCACCCCTGTTTCCGGCTACCCAACGATGCCCCCGTTAGCTCAGACGATAGCGTTCAGGTATGGCCTGTCGAGAACGGGAAGATCCTGTTTACCGCCTCGTCCGGACTGGCTTTTGTCGAGTTGTCCACCGACGGGGATGACGTGTGTCACAACTTCATCGAATACCTCAACAGTGAGTCGAGCGGCAACGGACTGCCCAAGCAGATCACCGTCACCGAAAGCGAACTACGTCAGCGGCTGTTTGGCACCGAAAAGGAGAAGAAGAAGCTCGTCAAACTTTCTGTCTTCTCGGGCGCCCTGGGCAGCTACACGGTCAACGATGTCAGCACTCTAAAATCCAAGCTGTCCCTAGTCAAACTGCCTGGCAGTCAGTCTGGCTTCAGGGGAGGAAAATTGGGCTTCTCGCAACTTGAGGACAGCCAACCGGAACAGCTCCTCCTCGAGTGTGCTTTCATCCAGACCAAACTTTTAACGTCCATCAAAGTCTATCATGGCTTTGCGTTGGACGGGATCGAGTTTTGCTACGAGGATGCCACTAGTCAACTCTTTGGCAAGCGTGGGGGGAAGCCGGGCGGCGATGAGTTTGTATTTGGTGAGTCTTGTGGGGGGGGGGAAGAGAAAGAGAGAGAGAGAGAAAGAACCTCTTGCTAATCCCCTTGTAGATACCCGACGTGGCGAAATTCTCTTAGGCTTCTATGTCCGAGCTGGTCTCTGGATTGATGGGATCGAAATTCTCACGAGCCTGGGAAGAAAATCCGGTGTATATGGAAACGCCACCGGCGGTTCAGGGTCAGTTCTCTCCCCTTGGTACATATCATCAGCAAAGTGTGACCGGACTGACAAAACCATTTCAGGCACACATTGATCCCGCCGCTTGGGTACAAAATCGCCGGCATTTCTGGTTCCTGCGGTGCCTGGGTAGATGGATTCTCGCTGATCATCATGCACTAACCATGCATACCGCATTAAGAGTCGATAGATCACTCTTTCTTCACCACTCGCATCCATTTCCATCGTCAATCTTGGCGGTGACCATCAGCCTCACCATTTTTGCCTGTCCCTTCTGTGGATATTCTACTCCGTACTCAGACGAATAGAACTACAGCGGGGCAAACGAGAGGGGGGGAAAAAACCAGGTTTACCTCCTTTACACGATAATTAATAGTCCGTCTTCTCATTTCGTTCCTTCGATGTTATTTTCTTGTGCATCTGCGCCGCACGATTTCGCATGAACTTTCCAGGTTTGGGCATTCTTCGACGGGGGGTGGGTTACATTTTGATCGCTTTCATTCTCTATGGTAAATTTTTTTGTGTGTTTTTTGAGGGCCCAGTCCGTGGCGGTATTTATACCAAGCACCGTTTGTTTTTCTTGCTTCGAATATGTGGGTGTCCCAGAGACGGCGTTATATGGAAGACAGTGCAGGTTTTGCGTTGAGGTGATTCTTGTAGGGTGTTGCTGAGGATACAATTGATCAAGCCGGACACACGGACGGACTGGCAGTGCATATATACATGCAAGCACATAATGATTCATTGGGTTGTAATGGTTCTTGGACGTTGTACGGGTAGAAGTAGAACGACCTCTCGGGTTGAGGATACCGGTGCCTCGGTTCAACAAAGTACGAAAGAATCTAGAACGGTGTCGCCTATCTAGTATCTAGTATCTAGTTACTTGATGAGATGGATACTAGTATGAATGGACCTTAGGCTTGCTGATCGGATCTCGGCTGTACTCCGTAGTTATTCCAGTGCTTTGGAGAGGATTTGTATTTCCGCCATGAAGCATTGACTACCTTACCTTACGGAGTATTGTCACCAAAAGCTTATTATATTACAATTAAAGTTGCGTTTTGTAATTCCGCCTACTTAAGGATTTTCTGTACTCAGTAACTAGTGGAACAGTTGCAACATAATATATCAGATACTCCATCGCCATATCATATCATCTTTCCGGATGCAGAAGCAAAAGTACAACGGCGCAAAGTTAATTTCCTCGGAAAATAATTTTCTGCCTATGGGGTGTCTTTCACATGTGCTTATTATTCAGTAGTACTACGTCAATTGATCTGAATTTTAGCCCTTGATGAAGGAGTGTACAGAGTAATAAATCATGTCGACCACCTAGGTAGTTAGGTACTATTAAGCTAAGTAGTAGTTAGTAGTTCACTCGAACTCCACAAAGAGTTGACAACAAAAGAACTGTACTTATACTGAGTACTCGGTACTCGGCGCTCACTGAAACGCCACACGAAGGGGAGGGGGGGCTGTCGATCACCCCCTTGTCCGGGCCTGTCACTTTCGGTTAGGTACCTCATAGTAATATGTTCAGCTCTGGAATAGGAAGGATGACGTCAGTAGATAGTTTTTGGAGTCACAGACTTACGGAGGACTAGTACGGCGGACGGAATACGGAGATACAGAGTAGTAACGGAGGACTCACCTGAGCTCAAATCGAGAGATCAGCCAGAAACTCGGTGGTAGGAAGATTATGATGTCACTATCTACACTCAATTTTATGGAATCATTAGGTATTGAATGATTAGGTGTTGCAATTATTAGAGGTAGGGAGACATTCCACCAACAGTAGGTAGTAGCAACCACAGGGAAAACTAAGAACTAAGTATACTCCGTACTCCGTACTCCATACAAGTAGGGTAGGTTAAGCGGTTACGTATGTCAACAAGGCGGACTAACTAGTTCAAGCAAGTGGCTGACCCTCCTCCCCGGCCACCGGAAAGTAATATTATTATCCAATAATAGATTGATACGGAGAGTGGCCCGGATCCATGGATAGGACGGCATTGATCACCGTGCTCTGGATTATCTAATCTATATAACGCCATTGATTGGCTGGAAAAGCCGTGCCGCGCTGATTGGCGGGTCGGAGCCCCAGCAACTGATAGGTAGCCCTGGAAGCACATCCAGGGCTAGGCCAGGCGCCTGAAATTTGAGTGAGCGGGTTTACGGAATACCTAGATAACTAATACTCAAACGTAGGTCTATACTCCGTAGGAGTGACACTTGGTGAGGAGAAATTGGGGAACTGCAGGTGAGTCAAGGTAGTACTGTATAGTATACGGAGACAGATTCCAGGTTCCAGGTTACTTACTACCTAGGTACCATATCAGGAGGCAATGGCAATGGCTGTCCAGATAAGGTTGTCTTAGTCAGGCCTGGCTCAACGGTGGCCGGGGTGGCGGAAATATCTTGGGCGCAGACCCGACGGGACGGATAGGTAGTAGTAGTAGTAGCAGTGATCACCTGGGCATAGGTAGTGATTATACCTAGGCAATAATAGAGGGGGAGTGCAATTAACAATAATAATAATATTCATCATTGTGATGTAGTATGGAGTAAGGTAATTACTAAGAGAAGGATTCCTGTTGCCTTAGGCTCTCGGAAAATTTCCCAGCGGATGTCTCAGCCATCAAATCACCGGCAAGCCGCCCGAAAGGAGAGAAGGGGGCGAAAGTCAGAAGGAGGTCAAAACGTCTGAGCGGGTGCATCATTGGCTGCTGCATGTCCCTCCCTCCCGTCTTGGTGACGGACTGCCTAACGGAGTATTCCGTACCAGGCTAGGTACCTCCCTTAGTAGGAATAAAAGCACTTACCTTAGATACTCCGTAGTTACATGTACCTGACTTACTTGGGTATGTGGGTAAGGTAAATAGTTCATTTACTAATTGTTCACAGAGTACAGAGATTGGATATAGATATACTAGGTTGCGAGGTACCGAGGTATCTGGTTAGTATCGTTTGGTTCACCTCCTCCAAAGAACCTAGGTAGTCCCTCCTCCTCTCCTCTCCGTACTCTGTACCTCTACTACATGGAAGATTAGGTAGCTGTACACCTGGTAACCGCTGTACCGAGTATGTGGATGCAAGGCGGTGTGTGACAGTACCTCAAGGTAATGATCGGCAACCACATGCCGCAACAGAGTTCCAATGGCTCCCATTGGATGCTATTATATTAGATAAGATACCTGAGAAATGAGCATCAGTTCGATGCTCTCTCTCTGTGTAAACCTACCTACCTTAGGTTCCTAGTACTCCGTAGTTATTGGCCTAGGAACCTCGGAAGTAAAGTACCGATAGAATAAAAAGCATAATAATATAGTCGGACTCATGAATGTCAAAAACATCATGTAAGTATATTTCTCTTATTTTGGCATGTGTCAGAGATATTGATTGGTTTTTTTGTTTTTCCTTTTTTTTTTCCCTTCTTTTTTTTTATTATTCATTTTGATAGCAGTTCATCCATAGACAGATACTTATGCCAGCAATTATGGTCATAGACTAGCGGTCCGGCTGCATTGCATCTGTCGTGGCGCAAAGAGGCTGCAGCTCCCGTTCTTCCACAAGACGGGAACAAAGCCAAGCCTCCCCTGCACTTTGAAGAAGAGGGGGCATCGGCCATTCGCTCTCGCTGTCTGGGGGTTGAATGGGAGGAACAAAGAAGAGAGGAGGAGAACAATGAGATGTATCGACCTAATAGAGTTCAAGCTGACAGATTGACTCCATACACCTCTCAATGATCAGTGTTATTGGTGACTCGGGTGTCTGGCAAAGGAAAGGATCATAAGATGGCAGTGCATAAGTATGGAGATGGAGTACGGGATTTGAGGACTTGCGGTGGACATGAATTAGAATAGGTAGGTAGGTAGGTAGGTACTTACCTCTGTACTAGTTAACTACCTTCTAGTAGGTACCTATCTGGTACCTAATGTAGTGTGGCAACATCCATGTAAGCCACAAACTGTCACCAAGTTTGGCCTCTATAAATGATAGCAGCTGCCTTTTTTAGCACATGAAGTCAGAATAATGGGGCATCACGTTCATTGATGTATCTAACTCTCCCATCTACCTAAATTATCTAGAGGTAAATACCTAGGTACCAAACTAACTACGTAGGTAAAAATCTGGTAACTAATACTAGGGTATGTATGTACCATTATCGGCATGTATTTTTTCGGTATTTTACTGCTGGTTCCATTCGATCTCATAGTGGGGCCTGTACCGCCCAGAACCACATCTCCACAGAGCCCACACAGGCAGTTCTGATGGGTATGTGGTAGCTGCATTTGTATGGATACAGTTTCATCATACCATGTACCCAGAAAACCCCACTTGTTGCTAGCAGTTTTCCCCCTCTAGAAGCAAATAGTTAATAATAAGGAAGTGCCAGGAGCTTCTAATACTCCATACAATTCTTCAGTTCTCTGTGAATTGATACCTGGCCTGACCTAGTCATTCCTGAAGTCTTCTTCTAAAGGTATTTCCTTCTGTACGGAGTACGCTGTATTTCCCATCTCCTCCCTGCTCCACTTTCGGTATCACTCCAACTCGACTTTCTTTCTACCGGGTCAGAAGGAGTTTCCATCCCTCCTCCTCCTTATCTCGATCGATTAGTATTACTATTATTTTCACCTGTACGTCCCCAGCAAGACACATCCACCGTTGGAGTATCTATCATATCTATCATACCTCAAGCCTATCCCTGACTGTGATCTTCAACCTGCCTCTGTTCTAATTATTATTGACAAGTAGTGGGTTTTGCGCGTCTTGTGTCACCAGACAGTTTACTACCTGGTGGTTTTATCTGTTCGCCTCACACTCCAAACCCACGATCACCTTTTTTTTTTCTTTTTTTTTTTTAAGGAAACAAAAATTCAACGAAGGGGGGAAGAATAAACAACACACCAACGGATGCGGTGTCGCTTCCAGGGGCTCGTTTTTCCTTTCTTCTAATTCTCTTCGCCCGTCTTACCTCCCCCCC